AGTGCCGCTCAGCTGACTGGCGGGCGCCAAATGCCAGGCTCGAGGCTGGCAAGCACAGCTGCCACAGTGCAAGCCTCTTCCGCCTCCACGGCAGCGCTACCAAGCTGCAGCAGCAGCAGGTGCAGTGGGGCCAGGAAGAGCAGGAGTGGTGCAGCGCCCAGCCCAGGCTAGGGCTACTCCCCAGCTCCTGCAGTTAGAGCACTAGTCCATCCCTCGAGGGATGTCAGACTGCTGGTTTCAGCCCGATCGCCAGGCCAAGGCAGTCCAACATCCCCTGAGGGGTCCCAGATTGTGAGAGGGTGCAGGCCAGGCTGAGGGACCCCACCAGTGCACGAATCCGTGCACCAGGCCTCTACTATAAGTAATAAAATGGCAATAAATACATATCTATCAACGAAGGAAGAAATGAAAAGAAAAAGGGAGAGGGATAAAGGGCAATAAATACATATCTATCAATGAAGGAAGAAATGAAAAGAAAAAGGGAGAGGGATAAAGATATGGAAACATTGATCAGAGAAAAACATCAATTGGCTGCCTCTTGCATGGCCCCTACTGAGGATTGAGCCCACAACCTGGGCATGTGCCTTGACATGGGATTGAAATGAGATCTCTTGGTTCATGGGTTGACACTCAACCACTAAGCCACACCAGCCAGGCAACAATTACTTTTTTGTTGTTATTGTTAATCCTCACCCAGAGATATTTTTCCATTAATTTTTTTTTTATCCTCATCCAAGGATATTTTTCTAGTAATTTTTGGAGAGAGTGGAAGAGAGGAAGAAAGACAGAGAGAAATATCAATGTGAAAGAAACAGATCGATTGGTTGCCTCCTGCACAAGCCTGATCAGGGCTCTGGGCCAGGGAGAAGCCTACAGCCTAGGTACATGTCCTTGACTGGAATTGAACCCAGGACCCTTCAGTCTGCAGGCTGATGCTCTATCCACTGAGCCAAACTGCCTAGAGTATTTCCATTGATTTTTAGAGAGAGTGAAAGGGAGGGGGAGAGACAGAGAGGGAGAAACTTCAACATGAGAGAAACACATCCATTGGTTGCCTCCCCGACGCACCGTGACTCGGGTCGGGAATCAAGTCTGCAACCGAGGTACGTATCCTTGACTGGAATTGAACCCGAGACCCTTCAGTCCGAGGGCTGACGCTCTATCCACTGAGTCAAACCAGCTAGGGCTGAGCAACAATTTATTTAAATGCAAATGGTGGATTAAATGCTTCAGTCAAAACACATATGGTGAGTGATGGATCACAAAACAAGACTCTTACATATGCTGTCTACAAGACTCACTTAAGATGGAAAGATGCACACAGACTGAAAGTAAAGGGATGGGAAAAAAATATATCATGAAGATGGAAACAAAACAAAACAAAAGGCTGAGGTAATAATACATATACCAGACAAATAGACTTTAAAACAAAGGCTATAATAAGATACAAAGAAGGACCCAGCAACTACACTTCTGGGCATTTATCCAAAGAAACCCAAAACACTAAATTGAAAAGACATATACATCCATTTGTTTATTGCCACATTATTTGCAATAGCCAAGACATGGAAGCAACCTAAGTGTCCATCAATAGATGAATGGATAAAGAAGTGGTGCATATATACAATGGACTATGATTCATTTAAAAAAGAATGAAATCTTGCTATCTGCAACAACATGGATAGACCTCAAGGATATTATGCTAAGTGAAATAAGTCAGAAAGACAAATGCCAGTTGATTTAACTTATATGTGGAATCTAAAACACAAAATAAACAAGTGGAACAGAAACAGATTCATAGATACAGAGAACATTTTAATGATTGTGAGATGGAAGAGGAGTTGGAGGATGGGTGAAAAAGGTGAAGGGATTTAGAAGTATAAATCGGTAGTTACAGAATAGTGATGGGGATGTAAAGTACAGCATAGGGAATATAGTCAATAACATTGTAATAACTATACACAGTATCAGATGGGTACTAGATTTATCGGGGTGATCACTTCATAAGTTAAATAAATGTCTAATCACAGGGCTATACACCTGAAGCTAATATAATATTGTATATCAACTGTAATTTTAAAAGAATAATGTTTACTCAACAATAAAAAGGAAGATACTACTGATACCATAAAGACATGGATTGACCTCAGAAACAACATGCAAAGCAAAAAGTAAAGGAACAGAAGAGTACATATCGTATGATGTAATGTATATGAAACTCTAGAAAAGACAAATATAATTTATAGTGATAAAAATCAGATCCTTGGATGCTTACATGGGGATAGAGGGATTGGCTGGGAAGAGGCTGAAGAAACTTTTGGAGATGTTGGAAATATGCTATATCTTCATTAGGGAGGTGGTTACATTGGTGTATATGTGCCTTTGCAAAAATTGGTCAAAATTTACAATTAAAATGGTTGTCTTTTATGTAATTAAATTTTACCTTGATAATGTTTATTTTAAAATACATACTTTATACATATCCACCTTGATGTTGTCAAAATAAAAACACAAAGAATATTAGAAATAATAAGAAAATCACTTTTTTTCCCCTAAGAGCTGGGTTGTTGTTGTTTTTTAATTTATTGGAGTGACGTTGGTTAATGTGATCATATAAGTTTCAGATGTGGGTTTCTATGTTAAAAGATCTGTATATTATACTGTGTGCCCATCACCCAAAGTCAAATCTTCTCCTGTCACCATATAGTAGGACCCCCTTCCCTCTGGCAACTATATTGCTGTTTGTGTTTCTGAGTTTCAGTTTTATATCCCACATATCAATGAAATCATAGTTCTTAGCTTTTTCTAACTGACTTATTTCACTTAGTGTAATATTCTCAAGGTCCATCCACATTGTTGCACATGGCAGTATTTCATCCTTTCTTATGGCTGAGTAGTATTCCATTGGGTACATGTACCACATCTTCTGTATCCAGTCCTCTATTACAGGACATTTTGTTTGTTTCCATGTCTTGGCCATTATGAATAATGTTGCAATGAACATTAGAGTACATGTATCTTTATGAATACATGTTTTTGAGGCTTTGGGGTATCTACCCAGGAGAGGGATTGCTGGGTAATATGGTAGCTCTATTCTTAATTTTTTGAGGAATTGCCAGACTGCTTTCCATAGTGGTTATACCAGTCTACATTCCCACCAGCAGTGAATGAGGGTTCCCTTTTCTCCACAACCTCTCCAACACTTGTTATTACTTGTCTTGTTGATAATAGCCACTCTAACAGGAGTGAGGTGGTATCTCATTGTAGTTTTGATTTGCATTTCCCTAATTCAGTGATGGCGAACCTATGACACGCATGTCAGAGGTGACACGTGAACTCATTTTTTTGGTTAATTTTTCTTTGTTAAATGGCATTGAAATATATAAAATAAATATCAAAAATATAAGTCTTTGTTTTACCATGGTTGCAAATATCAAAAAATTTCTATATGTGACACGGCACCAAAGTTAGGGTTTTTCAAAATGCTGACACGCCGAGCTCAAAAGGTTCACCATCACTGCCCTAATTGCTAGTGAGGTTGAACATCTTTTCATATATCTATTGGCTGTTCTTATGTCTTCTTAAGAAAAGTGTATTTTCAGGTCCTCTACCCATTTTTTGATTGGGGTGTTGGTTTGGTGTTGAGTTTTATTAGTTCTTTATATATTTCAGAAATTAAACCTTTGTTGGAGCTACTGTTGGCAAATATGTTCCATTTGGTTGGCTGTTCTTTGTTTTGTTGTCAGTTTCTTTTGCTGTACAGAAACTTTTTAGTTTTATATAATCCCATTCATTTGTTTTTTGCCTTTATTTCCCTTGCCTTTGGGGTCAAGTTATAAAATGTTCTCTACAACCAAGGTCCATAAGTTTGGTAGAGAATCACTTTCAAAAGTAGCAAAATTTAATTCAATGTAAATGAGTAAAGGCTTAAACACATTGAAAATAAATAGGGTGTCCAAAAAATGTATACACACACTTTGAATAATTATAAAAGCAGTGTTTGGTAAAATAAATCTCATTTTCAAAATTGAGCTATCAGCTGTTAAAGTGCACATACATCTTTTGGAACACCCTGCATTTGAGAGCACGATCGAAACCAGTATCTTATATAATAAAGAGGTAATATGCAAATTGACCATCACGTCCTCACACAAGATGGCTGTCCCTTGTGGTCACAAGATGGCCGCCCCATGTCGTCACAAGATGGCCACCCCCATGTCGTCACAAGATGGCTGCCTCCATGTCATCACAAGATGGCTGCCACAAGTAGGCCAGAAGGGGAGGGCAATTGTGGGTGATCAGGCCATCAGGGCAAGGCAGTTGGGAGCAAACAGGCCAGCAGGGGAGGGCAGTTGAGGGTAATCGGGCCAGCAGGGGAGCAGTTAGGCATCAATCAGGCTGGCAGGTGAGTGGTTAGGGGGCGATCAGGCTGGCAGGCAGAAGCAATTAGAGGCAATCAGGCAGGCAGGCAAGTGAGCGGTTGGGAGCCAGCAGTCCCAGATTGTGAGAGGAATGTCCAACTGCCGGTTTAGGCCTGATCCCTGTGAACATCCCCTGAGGGATCCCAGATTGGAGAGGGTGCAGGCTGGGCTGAGGGACACCCGCCCCACCCCTGTGCATGAATTTCATGCACCCAGCTTCTAGTAATGTATAAAACACAGATGTGGTGTATAGCTTCCCAGAGTCAGTAACACACAGAACAATACAAATCAAGAAAGTAGGTTCACTCTCAACTATAACCTGTTCCTAAAAATGAGTCTGCGCCCAAATTATGTTATTTTATTGGTGAAATCAGAAACCTTCTTTAAACTTTTCCACATTCTTTTTCCTTATATGTTCCACCATGATCTTCTTCTTTATTTAAGTAATAGTTAACAAGTCCCTCTCTTTCATGCACAAGTCTGCACTGCTGCATGCCACTTCACCTAATGATTTTGTTTCTTTATTTTTACTCTCTCATTAAAGACTTGGCCATAATTATATGTGCAATCCCAAGACCATCATGTACACGATTTCACGAAAAAAACTTGTCTCTGTCTGAGATGCTTGATGGCACTTTTTACTTCCTCATTCCTCAAACTGTAAATGAGGGGATTCAGCAAAGGGGTGATCACTGTGTAAAAGACAGATACCACCTTGTCAAGGGAGAAGCTGGTATCGGGCCGAGTATAGATGAAGATACATGGTCCAAAGAAGAGGGCAACCACCATGAAGTGAGCTGAGCAGGTAGACAGGGCTTTCCAGCGCCCTTCAGCTGACTGTTTTCTAAGAGAAACCAAGATGACTGTGTAGGAGGTGACCAAAGCCAGGAAACAGGCGAGGGAGATGGTTCCACTATTGGACACCATCAGCATTCCTGTGAGATATGTATCTGTACAGGCCAGCTTGATGACAGGAGGCACATCACAGAAGTAGCTGTCAATAATGTTGGGGCCACAGTAAGGCAGACGAATGGTCAAGAAGGTCTGCACCAGAGAGTGAACAGTACCCCCCAGCCAGAGAGCAATGACAAGCTGTATGCAGACCCTCATGTTCATCACAGTGGTGTAGTGTAACGGCGTGCAGATGGCTACGTAACGATCATAGGCCATAATGGTCAGCAGAAAGATCTCAGCACAGGCAAACAGATGGAGGAAGAAGAGCTGTGCGATGCAGTTGTCAAAGGAAATGGTCTTTCTCTTTAAAAGCAAACCCTCCAGCATCTTGGGCACAGTGACAGATGAGTGGCAGATGTCAATAAACGACAGGTTGCTCAGGAAGAAATACATAGGGCTATGGAGATGTTCAGTAAAGATTATGGTGACCATGATGAGGATGTTCCCCCAAAGAGTGAGCACATATATGGCTGAGAATGCCATGAAAAATAATACCGTCAGTACCCAGTTATCAGTAAGTCCCAAGAAGACAAATTCAGCCACTCTTGTTTGGTTTAGTGCATCCATCCACTGAGTTTTCCAAGGGACTTTGGGTGGAAAGGAGGTAGAATAAAAGCTAATTTAGCTTTACTGTTATAGGAATGGAACTAACTCAAGTGATTCTGCATTCCTCTCTGAGTTGCCTATTACTTCCTAGAGCATTTATAATTAAGACCAATTTAATAATAATTGTTACAATATACCCACCATGTATCAGGAGCCGTTCCAGACACTTTACATCCACCATTCTATTTAACCACAACCACATGCTGGCATAAGCATGACTGTCCTGTCTTGCAGATGAGATAAGTGAGCTTTACAAGAATAAATAAGTTGCCCAAAATCCCTAGCCACTAGTTAGCTAGTTCTTTTCAGTTTAGTCTAATCTGCAGATACCACCAAATTAATATTCAAAGCACAACTCCCAGATAAAATCATTCATTGTTTCACTCTTCCTATCAAATTAAAGGTACCTTCAAGGGCTGCAACAGTTTGCTGCACATTAATTTTCCCAAGATGGCATCCCTTCTTTCCCCCATGCATTCTTTTCTCCAGCCAAGCAAGTTACTATGCTTCAGCCATGGTACCTGCACCTACTTACTTTCAAAATCTTTGTCTCTATTTATTGTTTCCTCTGCTCAAAAAACATACCCTGTAATCAAATGTACTCTCTGCACCTCATCACTGACTATTTAATTATTCATCTTTCAAGTCTCTCAAAGACCAATACCTTTTTTGAAACTTTCCATACACAATCAAATCTTATCTCTTCCTTTTCATATTTTTTATATGGAATTTAACTGTAAAAGAAAAGAAACTATTTGGCTTTGCTCCCCATTAAGTTCAAATTTTCTTTTTTTATATATTTTTATTGATTTCAGGAAGGAAGGGAGAGAGAGAGAAAGATGGAAACATCATTGATGAGAGAGAGTCATTGTTCGGCTGCCTTCTACACGAGCCCACAACCTGGGCATATGCCCTGCCCAGAATTTCGACCTCCTGGATAATAGGTCAATGCTCAACCACTGAGCAACAAGGACTGGGCAAGTTGGCATTTTCTTTAAAAGCAATAACCACATATGACTTATCTCTTGTAACCCTTAGGATGGTTACTTGCACACAGTAGGTATGCAAAAATGCTTTTATTTGACTGAAGTAACCTGAAAAAGAATCCAACCCTTCCTTCACAGTAGAGCTAATAAGTGAGTAAAACATAATTTTTTAAATTTTGTAATATTATTTGTCCCTGAGGACATATTATTTTATAAATACTAACATTATATTACCTATAATTTCCTATACTGATGGGCTGGCCAAAAACTATAACAGGGTTTAAGAAATAATTACCACAAATCATAAAAAATACTTATATTCTTGATTCAATTATTTCACTTGTAGGAATCTCTTAAGCATCCAAACTATGAAAAAAATTAAATGCAAGAAAATATTAATTACAGCATTATTTAATATAGCAGTCATGAGGCTTTCTTTCCCCATCAAAATTCCAGTGACATTTGTTTTTGAAGCCTGAATAAATATAGTGGAACTTAAATAAAATTGTGTGCAGCTATTAAGAATGGTAATAATAAAGAATTATCAATATGAAAAAATATTGAAATATTATGAAGAATAAAAATTGAGATAAAATAATTATTCTTTTTATTGTATTATTTATTTACAATACAATATTAAATTATTTTCCATTCAAACAACTGTAAACTTACTTTTTCCCTACCCTGTATTTCATAGAAATAAAGAAATCAGTAATTAAGGATATATGTTTATTTAAACATTTTTAGCAAAACAAGGTACTGGAAATAAACTGAATGTTTATCAATAGAGGAATGGGTAAATAAATTTAGTGCAATCACAATATTACTAATATATAGTCATTAATAAGAATGAGTCGGGTCTAAGTATAGTGAAGCAGTGATTCACAATGCCTAGGGTAGGGGGGTATAAATTTCGCTGCCCAGGCCTCATCTCAGACAATTCATTCAGACCCACCAGTACTTTTATAGCTCCTTGTTGATTCCAAACAGCCAAGATTACAAACTATTAACTTCATAGATTATTAACTTCTTGGTGAAAAAACCATATTATAAATATGTTGTGAACCAGGAAGGAAGGGAGGGAGAGAGAGAGAGAAAGGTAGAGAAGAAAGAAGGAACAAACAAACAAAGACACAAAGGAAAAAATGAAAAGAGATTTTTATGTGTAGATATGCACATATATATACACATGTATGCTTGAATATATTTATACATATTCAAACATATATACATATTGATGACTTATGTTTGTATGTAATATTTATTCCTAAAAGGATAGAAGATAGGTGTTAAAGAATACACATTTATTGTAACATTGGTTACCTGTGAAGTAAAGAATTGAAAGGGATAGTAGGATTTTATTCATTTTTACATTAATCTCTGTATTGTTTAAATTTGTATAATAAGCATGGGTTACTTTATTTAAAAAACAAAGTATTAAAAAGCATATGTAGCTGTTTTGGCTCAATGGATAGAGTGTCGGCCTGTGGACCAAAGGGTCCCGGATTTGATTCCAGTCAAGGGCACATATCTTGGTTGCAGGCTCCTCCCTGGCCTGGGGCCTGGTCAGGGCTTATATAGGAGGCAACCAATTGATGTGTTTCTCTCATATCAATGTTTCTCTCTGTCTTTCCCTCTCTCTAAAATCAATGGAAAAATATCCTCGGGTGAGGATTAAAAAAAGAAAGAAAAAAGCATATGTAGGGAGAGAAAAACAAAAAGGAAACTAAAATGCCGACTTCATGGGATCATGAGTACAATTTTACTCATCCATGTCTGAAAGTTTGTAATATGGTTGTATTTCTTATAAAGCAATATTCTGAAGATGGGGAATATCTTTCCTATACACTGCTGGTCAGCAATGCATTAGCAGCAGAGAACCAAGAACTGTTTTACCTTCACCTAGAAAGGAGAGGCAGAGGCTCCTCATAAGAGCACGTTCAATGAATTCAAGTAACTGTGACCTTCGGCTTCACCTCCCCAAGCCTCGGTTTTCTGAGCTATGAAATAGGAACTAGATGCAGCTCTTCTTTGTGATGAGATGCAGCACATGTCTAGGTCTCCTGTTGAAAAACCTAAGAGAAAAGCCAGGGAATGGGAAGGATCTCTGGCTTCACTAGTGGTTCAGAAAATTATCATTAAAAATTGAAGCTCATAGACATTTATCTCTCAAATAAAATGTCATGTAGTTAAGGTTCTGAGATGTTTTATGGCTTGCCTGCTTTTGCATGCAGAGCTGGAATTCTCTGTCCCAGTTCTCCTGCCCTAAGGTTCCCACCACTTAGCAGTTGCCTCCAGAGAGCTGATGAGCTAGATTAACTCCTATATCTCTTTTAGCACATTGTACTTAGTTTATTTTTAAGTTTTATCCTTCACAGAATATTGTATTTTTTTCTTTTTTTAATATTTGTTCCACCTGTAATACTTTCAACCATAAAGATAAAGTTGTAAAAATATGTATTTGATCCTTCATAGTATGTCATGATATTATCTACCAGATTGTCAACCAAAACAGGAGGGGGAAAAATTTCTGAGAAAGAAAGCTGCTCTGAGGTTTTAAAGGTAAGAATTGTTTTTATGGTAAGAACTAAACGGTGTCCTCTGCATACAGAGAAAGCTCTCCACAGCACTTTCCCCGTATGTTCCAAATATGTAGTTATGATGAGTTATGGCCCAGAGAGTGACACTGCATAGGGAAGCCCAGGGGGGCAGAGCTGTCATACAGTCGGCTGTGGTCTTCCATTTCTTTAGAACAGCCCAAACCTAGTCTGTATGCTGGCTTTCAGAGCACAGAAAAGACAGGCTTTCTCCAGTGGCAATAAGGACAACCTTGCTTAGACAAACAAGTAAAGACTGTAGAAGAGGCTCATTCTTTGTTTGAACCGTTGTAGCATATTTAACATTCATTCTATAAACATTGTGAGTGCCTAGCCGGAAACTGTGCTAGGGATTCAAATGCAAAGAGGCAGAGGGAAGTGATGGTTTTGATTCCTCCCAACCCCCAAACTTCACAATTCTATGATTTTTTTGATAACTAGAAAAAAAAGAACAGGTGCCATGGCAAAATCTAAAAGGTGGCAAGTCATAATGCTAGGCATTTTGAGGAATCTTGGAGAATGTGTGTATTTGTGGTGTGTGTGTGGGTGCCCTCATAGAAAGCAACACAATGAAAAAATACATTGAGCCCTGAGACAGAAGAGAGGGCAAAATAATTCTCATAAGTTAAAAGGCCACCTATTAAACTTCTAAACACCACACACTTATGCAACATATCAGATAAGTGATTGAGATGGGGTCTTGCTCAACACCATCTACATATGTGCATATCCACAATAAGCAGGGCAGGTAAAGAGGTAGCAAAGCTTACCAATTCTCTCCAATTAAGCAGGGGCAATTTAGCTGATTGTTGTATTCTTTAATCCACTTATTTCATAATTCCTTATGAAATAAACCTGAGAAAACAAAAATATTTTTTAAATATATCTTATTGATTTTTTACAGAGAGGAAGGGAGATGGATAGAGAGTTAGAAACATCGATGAGAGAGAAACATCGATCAGCTGCCTCCTGCACACCTCCTACTGGGGATGTGCCCGCAACCCAGGTACATGCCCTTGACCGGAATCAAACCCGGGACCTCTCGGTTCGCAAGCCGACGCTCTATCCACTGAGCCAAACCGGTTAGGGCCAAAAATATTTTTTTAAATACCAAATAAAAACACTCTGATTTGGACATTAGTAACTGGTTTCTGTTTAAATAGTTCCACCCTTTCAATGTTGGTCCCTGGATTTTTTTAAACCTTTCATTCTCTGTAAATTTTGCATTTGTCTTTTTCAATACCTTTGTCTTCCTCTGGCCAAGTGAGGTAGAAATAAGCCTACTTGCCATCTGCACTTTAATGAGTAACTACTATGGCATTATAGAATTATATTTGCACTGGTTCCAACAAACATTTACTATAGAAGAAAAGTAATT